AGATAGTAAGTGAAGCTGATGGAACGTGATAGCTGCAAAATGAGGACTAAGGCAGCTGGGAGATCAATAGTGATGTAACCCAGTGATCGTCCGATGGATGTTCAAGCCTGTGTCGTCGTTGTGGCAGCATGCACGTTGGAGATAGCTTAGGTTTAGGGAGTTTAGGGAAATAGTTTTGTAGCAATGTTTAGAAGTTTGATAGGGTCGTTCAGCCAGCTTAGGGTCGATGAAATAAAGTGTTAGGGTTTAGTCAGGTTCCCTAATTATAGCTATATCAAAATATTTTCACTTGTTAGCTAGGATAGCTAACAAGTGAAAATATTTTGATTTGTTTGTTTAGGATGTGGTCATGGACTGTCCTTTTAGATAGGTTTTTCGCAGACCAAAGCCATAGCCTCCTCGGTGGTTTACTTGTTGGTAAGTTAGTGACTTCCGAGCAGTGTGTGGCTAGCCTGTAGTAAAGGCTGATCACTGATGTAAGTTGCCTATCATAGGTAGAGCACCAGCTAGGGATGTTCACCCCTTCAGCTGTGAGGAAGAGGGATGTAGACTAGGCTGTACTCTATGAGTAGAATCTCTGGCTGAATGAGTTAGTTTGTATTTAGAATGCTTTCGAAGAAATGAAATAAGTAAGAATAGAAGATCTTGAAAGACAGAGAGATTGATTTGTAACGCAATACTAAAATTATGTAAAAAAGTGAAATAAAGTATATTTTAAAGATTATTACAGTTTAAATTCATAGAAGTACCTCTCGCAACGCATCTGAGTTACGAACCCCTTATTTCAGTACCTACTGCATTCACGGCAAAGCTTGCCTTACGCACTACACAGCCAGGATAGGCACAGCATAATATCACGAAATGCATTAATGTATTGTACTTTAGAGTCTGTTAAATGATCGAAATTTTACAAGCCTTTCTTCCTTTAATTCATACACATTTATTTTTCCAAAATTATTGTACACATTAACAACTCTAACAATATCTACAATGACTAAGAAATCACTGTCGCCGAATGATTCTAATCCTTTCTTACATCATCACACAAAATAACACAATTGTGCAAAAAGTTACTTCAAGGTCAATAAAAATATGGTAATCACCGACCTATGTTTTTTTTGCAGAACAGCATTGGTGTATTCCAGATAGAGCAGTAGGATAAGGCAGCGCAATCACAGGCACAGGGGACTTAAGATCTAATAGCCCAGTAGTGAACAAATAAAGAAGAAGATCCAAGTGAGCAGTTATAAAGAAGTATAAGGCTGTGAGGAGACCCTGACTTAAATAATGAGCACGCAGCAAACAACGCATATTATTATGCAACATTGAGGATACTTCCTAACCATTGCAATAAAGCTGCAGCAGTCATTTTCATCTAGTAAACAGGCAATTGCCGATTTGTATAACACAATAAAAAAATCGAATGACTTACACTTAAGTGTAACTCAACTTGATAGATTATAATCAGTAAGCTGAATGCAAAGCAGTTAAAAAAACTCCATGCTATGTGCAACCATGTTTCACTAAATTGTTGCAAAGATTTATACATTTTTGCAATGTGCTGCTCTCTTTACTATGTGGAATGGAAATATCTAATCTAGCTACTTCATTTTGTGATGACATTTAATAAGATGAATAGTTGCTATCTTTTATGTAGGAGGTTCTGAGTTTCATTACCCCAAGGTCAGGGCAACACTGCGTCTTTTTGAAGAATGCACACTTGCACAATTTATTACTTGTTAGAAAAGTGAAAGACAACAATATAAAACCTGCATTTTTTTTTCATGATACCAAATGACGGGACGAACAAGTTGTGCGCATACAGTCCATTTGTTTAGGTGCTTAACTAAATGTAAACAATCGTGAGATGTCTATTTAATGAAATTTACATTTATAAAATATAGTGGTAACCAACAAGCCTGTCCACAGCAGTTGTAGTGCCACTCAGAGTTTTAAATCGCAAAGAGCTGAGGGGCTCACTCACTGCCTCTGCGCCCGTCACCCTGAGACATAAGTCGACAAGTCCCGTGTGCATGTGATTTCACCAGCACCCTTACCCTTCAAAACCTCAATGCTCACATTACTGCTTGGCAGCAGAAGTAGGTGCGATGGCGATACGTAATGGACGAAATCGTTCACAAGGAGCTGTACTGGTACTGAAAGTTAATTCTTTGAAGAAATCTCCAAAGGTGAAGTATAAACTTGTATTTTATAATGTAAATAAGGGCACAAATATGTGTTAATAGTGCTTGGCGATAATAACGGTAATCATAAATTACCTAATTATTAGTAGACAATATGGGCTACCAATAAAATTAAAGGTATTAAATGTAATTAATCATTCCCAGACTAATATAATCATTATCTACAAATCAATCATAATTAATGCAATGACAAATCCAGTTTATAAATGGAACTAACATGACATACTGTTGAAACAAATAATTTCGTTTAAATTTTTTATTATTTTTTATTTATTTATTAAACATAACAGAATTTACATGGGTTTAATTGTACAGTGTCACAAAAACCAATTTTGATTTTACCATACACTGCCACTTGGAATTTAATACAAGATACATTACATTTAAGATTAAGTTTGTTTTAAAGCAGTATTAGTAGCCTAGTGGGAGAATGTTAACTCCTCGGTTACGAGGTAGACAGTTCAAATCCCTGTGGTGGAATGTTATGACTTGTAATTCTCTCTCTTTGATTTCTAATTTAAGTACACATATTTGTAAATATATAGTAATAATAAGTCTTATCAATGAAGGAAAACACTGTGATGATACCTGCACATTAAAGAAGATTCACAAACCTGCATTCGGTTAGCATAGCGGACCATGGCCTAAACTCTCTATTTAGAGAAGACCCGTGCCCAGCAGTGCGACATATGATGATGATGACTTGAGTGGGTCGATAATGACGAATTTACGTGTAAAAAAAAAGAGTTGTTATTTTAGTTGCACCGCATGTTATATCAGTATTATCTCTTTCAAAACTCCATACATAACCCATGAACTTAAATATATTATTATTACGGTACTTTCATTCTGGAACTGTGCATTACTTCATAACTTTAACAATTAATTATTCTATTAGAATGAGATATTATAATAAATAAATTAATAAATAAATTTCAATAACAAAATTATTGTTCATAGCAGCCACTACAATCTTTATTTCAACTGCCTGCATCTGGCCTCTGTTCCCTCTAGTTCAGTTGACTGAACTAATGAGATTTTTTTTCTCGTTTGTTCCGTTGAAAATAATAAAAGCTTTTGTACCTGGTATAGTAGAATTTTTTTATTTCCTCTATTCCCACTAGTTCAGCTGTCCATCCTCTCTCTACATTAGTTCTGTTATCCAGTCCAGTTAGTTAATTGAACTATAAAGAATTTCTGTCTTGTTTGCATAGTTGAAAATAAAACAAGCTTTTTTGCTGGACGAAAATTGAGACTGGGTAGTCTCAATTTTCGGCCAAAATTTCGTCAGTTCAGTCAACTGAACAAATGGGAAAAAGAATCTCAATAGTTCAATCAAATGAACTAGACAACTGAACTAGTGGGCAAAGAGGGCATCTGGTTGGCTAAAAAGGCTCATTTAAACATTGAGACACATGTTTGTTTTAACCAAGAAAATGTGTAATCATATAAAGATTTTGAAAACAAAAACTGGAACCTGTGTAGTTAGTTTTGTATGAAAATACAAAGGAGGTTGTCCATTTTGCAAAGCCAAAAGTCAATACAACAACAAGGTGCTGTTTTGATATATAAATCAGGCATTGTCCTGAATACTACAAAACTAATGTTCAAACAGTAAAGTCCATCAGTGCTTTACTGGACAACTTCAGAATGTGCTAAGCAAGAAGATTAATTGGGAAGTGCACAATCTATTTGGCTATCATGATAAAAAGTGAAAGTTTTTTAATAATTTGAACCACACAATTTACTTTCTAGTCTCTGTACAGCAAAAATGTAATCTAGCTTGTTCTAGCTCTAGATTACTTTGATTAAAAAAATATTCAATAGAATAACTTCATTTTTTCTGTTTTTAATAGCTATTAAAAACAGAAAAAAATTAAGTTATAAAAGATTGGGCGACAAACTTAATTTGTAAAAGGAATTTCAATTAAATTTTACTATAAATAAAAAAAATAGGTATGAGATCAATCCAGAATGTTGTTACAATAATAATTGACCTTTTTACATCATTTTTATTCATAATAAATTGTTATTATTTGTGTTAATGGCTTTGTGATCTCAGCCATTATTAGTTGTTTGAAAGTACTGTTTTTAATAACATAATTCTTACTTTTCTATCTGATAATTTCATCCAGTTAATTTCATGATCTAACAAGTAAATTATATACAACTACAGGATACAAATAACAAAAGTCAAATTTTAATACTTTTACCTATTTTAATATTCCCTGTGTCCACAAAACAAAAAAAAAATCTTTTGTAAAATTTAAAGATGGAACATTATGTAGAATTACTTCAATTACTTCTACATCTCTGGTGTTATATAGTTGTTGTCGCTATTCTAGATTTCAATATAGGCATTACTTACACCACTTGCACCTAACTCTTCTAAGACAGGTTTGTCTATTCCATAATAGGACCAAAATTTCAAACACTAAGCATGGCTACCAGACTCAACGTAAACAAAAACAATGTTTACATGAAAAGACACCCACAAACATGCACACAGACAATATAAAACAAACTTAGTAGAAATTATAATTAATTTCTTACTTATAAATGTGAATGGCGAGCTTCTATGATGTCAAAGTCGCGCAATATGACTACTGGACGACTATTGCAGTTTTGTAACACTGCCCAACCGCCTGCACTAGAAGTTTCGAAATTACTACCGTTCGTGCGTTACTCCGCAAACTTTGCACGCATCGATCCCCCAATTTACCTAACAATGACCTCTACCTACCTAAAGAATAATTATACTAATACTATTGTATACCAACTAAAGCATAAGCGTACCTTTTCAAAACGTTGCCTGTATTCTGCTTTTTCTATCTTGTCACTTTCCAACTGCGATATTTTCGCCGTCAACTCTTGTAACGCTTGATTCTCCTTTTCATTCCTCACAGCGAGGTTCTCCAGTAGCTCCAAAGCGTTGATTACTTTTGGCAACAACGCTGTTACAGCGTCAGGGCCGTATTTCTCGATAATTATTTCGCATTCCTTGCCAATGTCCGATGCCAGGTCGTACACATCGACAACAGTAACATCGTCGTCGAAATCTGGCATCTTGGCAGACGGGCGCCTGTGGTACGGCATTTAAATCACCTTGTTTTCACTTCACCGCACTACATAAAGATGAACGTTGGGAATTTACAGCAGAAGATAATCCGCCTTTCGCAAGTGCGCCATTATGACTGAAATATGAAATGTCAAATTCGAGACTAGGGACGTGCAGTTCGTTAAATAACGAAGTACGATTTATAAACCGGTTGTGCGTAACGTAACGGTTTCCAGGCTAGCGGTTCTCGTAGCATATTGCCAGTACCACCAAGAGACAAACAACATGCATACGCGATGACTAATGCTCCCGTGTCTCACCCCGCAGTTTGACAAATAACGAAAATCTACTATCACACTTCTTCTCTGAGATTGTTCATATTAATTATAAAAATTACTTTAATTTCATGTGTTAAGTAACGCCAATGTTAATTTAGGTAATTCGGTAAATCATACTTTTTTCAAAGACTTCCTCATAATAGGCATTTTTTATAAAGAGCTATGGACTAAGCACATTATCAATGAGATTGAACATATGAATGTATTTGTATGTTTAATAATTTAGTTGTAGTTGAGTATTTTACTAAAGATGGTATTTAATTTATCTAAAATAATATTTTACTACATTTAACTCTAAATAACCTATGTTTACTTCTTGGAAAGTCTTAACCACAGACATATATCTAAATAGACGCCGCAAGTGTATGTACTTCGCGTGCCCAAAGTAAGTGAAATTAACTTAGTGCCGCTGTTACACTTCAAAACGCGCTCGACCGTTATCATAGATAAACACCAGTCGAAAACGCGAAAAATACATAATTATGCCATTATGAACTGCAAAAGCATCGTAATCGTGGGTAAATGGGTAAACAGGGACGTTTCCTTCCACGGGCAAGTGATTTTGTAATCAGAAGATGCATAATTTATTTTAAAAACAATTATTTTGGTTTTGTATGAATTTCGAGAAAACAAATATCTAACCGAGTGTATGCCTCATGATTTGTAATACATTGCGGCTTTTACTTGGTGCGATATACTTGTGATCTTTGTTAATACGCCATGAATATCGAACGAACACACTTTTGTATAATGCATTCAGTTTCATGGTACGGCCGCTTGTACATTTCTTTGGCCATATACAACATTTAGTGATGTATACGTTAGGAAACACAGTTCTCGGTTCTTATCGATTTTGAAAACGAAGGGACGAAAATTTCTCTTTAGCAATATTATAAAAATTTTCTATAACTCTTTCGTTATAAGGTTTAGTAACGTTTCGTTTTTTTTTTCAGTTTTGTAGTATCTATTATCAGTGTAATTTCGATAATTTTTGCAGCACGTTGCCTCGAATGCCGCCGGATATGTAGTACGAGTAATACAAAAAAATATAGAATGCAAAGAATTAACAGTGCGCTGTCTTTACAAAAACCTGAAGTTGGTCATACGTATGAGTTCGTTGCTTTCGAGGACGAAGGTGGTCTAGTTTATCCTACCTACAATGCTATCCAAATATGCAAAATAGCAGAGTTAGAAGTCCTAGAAATAATAAACAAATTGCAAAAATTTCACATGAGGCCGTCATTAAGTAAACCTCTTTTGACTAATAAGATTTTACCATATTTTGTCAGCAGTAACATTTTCATTTGTCTTGCCATTCATCAATTTGATCAATTACCAACAGAAAACCAACGAGTAACATTAATTAAGGTAGTTACAAGTTCACATATTGACGTGCCCGTGACAGTGCGCGAGAGACGTGCTTATACGCGTGTTTACGCGTATTCCGTTCAATCAATCGATTTAGAGCGATCGGTAGGAGATTTCCATCACTAAATAGTTCTTGTGACGTCATAGTGGGTACAAAAAATGTGGCACGCGTGATTTTCACACAAATTGCTGTACTTGCGGCGTCTATCTAGATATATGTCTGTGGTCTTAACACATTGTACAACTCTATTTGCATACAGCATTTAATTTACAGAACCTATAATTTCTATATTACATTTGTATATTAAACGGCTCTCACGAATACGTCAATATGTATTATCATGACACCTAGTTTAAAGAAAAAATAATAGGTGTAAAAACTTCATTTACTTTACACTTGATGAATTTGTTTCGAAGAACTGTATGATAAAAAACATACTCATGAATAAACCTGTGCTTTTACGTCGTAAATGAAGTTTTATTGATGCGATATTTTTTGTTACAAAAAACATTTCAGTTACGTTAAAATAGGTTTTTATCATTTTTTGCGTGAAAAAATTTATCAACTTTATAATAGATAATATAGAATAGAACATTATAGCCTCATAAAAAAATCTGTAAAAACTTATACACTTTAGGGCGAATATCGATATGTATATCGGTTATTAAAATGGAAACGTTAAATAACGAAAATAAATGCATAACAGGCCTAGTTTATTGACGTGATCTTAGTGAAACAAAAAACATGTGTTTCTCTGTCACTTTTTCGGATACACACACATTGTATCGCGTTGTGGATGTAGACACAATAAAATATAACGACGAAGAACCTGTTGTGATCGATTTACTATTAAGTTAAGAATTTTGATCTCACGTGTATCTATACAATACATGATATATTTCTTTCATCAACAAAATTATGTGTGTAATTTTATCAATATTAAGCAAATATCTGAACATCAATTCAATAAAAAAAAAAGGAATTTCCTTCTCATTGACGTCACGTCCGCCCGCCAATTTGAAAATTAAAAATCAATTTACCATTTTTATCAACTTCGATTGTAGAACATCTCAAAATGGTATACAATCTGAAATAATATGAATCCCTAAAACAATTATTTTGATTAATAGTTCAGTAGAACAATAAATTCTATAGACCAACATATTTTCTATTGTCACGTAAATGAATATTTTATACGTCGGAAAGTTGTTAGTGGTAGATATACATGGCAGTTAACATCATACCTATCTGATAAGGAGATGAAGGGACTGACGACATGTTAGGCACTGTTTTCAAGAGCCTTGTTAAAATATTGATTATTAGTAAGTCGCCACGCGCGAAGCAACAGTTGGATAGAATCAACAGGCGAGAGCGCGCGACGCCACTATTGCGCGCCATTTTTGTAAACAAATATTTATACTTTTTTTTTAATTTGTGCAATGAACATACAAAGTAAAGCAAATAAATATGTGTGCCCCAATGATCGACAACTCTCACTTCGTGCAAAGTAAGTATTGTTTACAGTTTAATGACAAGTTTTGTTTACGTTTTGAGAATCTTCTTTGACTATAATTTTAATGTTTTACTGAACTTTGTTAGCTTTTTAAAAATTAATCTGATCGTGGTAATTTTAACAAAAGTTTTTCAACAAAGCTATACACTTGTGTGCTTAAATGGAATTACTACATATTTACAAATAAAATTTAAAAATAGCAATGTGCTCTCTTGTCTTATAAAATGTATAAAAGGGTCACTGCAATAGAAACAAATCATTTCGTTAATTGCGATTTAGACCAACTAGCTGTAACGCAAAACTAAAACTAAAACATCGTTTAAAAAGAGAACATACTTTTTTCTAAAAATACTCCAAGGCTTCGAATTTTATTCAGCCTACAAGTCATTGCCGCGTACGTTCGCTATCTCTCCGCACATCCGTTTCCTCTTAGCTTGTATTACATTTTAAGTAAGTAATCACCATACAACTCTGTATAGCTATCATTTAAATTCTGCAAATATAAAAGGTCCACTTAAATTTAATTATGTAATATTGAAAAGAAGAGCTCAGATTAAAAGACTCTACTTATACATATAAGGACATAATTAAAATTTTCAATCGTAAGTCTTATCCAAAAAAGAGCTTAGAATTTCTTAGAACACAATTTTCCGATTAATACCGCAAGTATTACCTTTATAATACACACTTGACTTTGGACTTTGGACTGTTTTTATCGTAAGCGTCATAGAGTTCAAATTTTAAATGTCGAGCTTGCCGTGCTCTAAATTTGTACGTATGTACATATAATAAAATAGACCTCGTATTCATTTTATTTTAAAAATGTTGATAATAAAAAACCAAACACTTCAAAATTACGCCACTAAATTGAAAAAGTATCAAATAAACAACAATTTGCAGAGTAAAATGAGAGTTGTTAAATTTTGCTTCCTATCAATTTCTTCTAATAATGGCTCGAGTGACGACGAGGGTTCAGTAAACGACGTGCAACCCTACGCTAGGTAAATTATTTTGATGGATGATTTTGTAAGGTATCCGATCTACAATTTATGACACAAGTAGTCACTCGTAACATTACACATCGCTACCTTTATACAATAACGCAGTATTGCACAATACAGCGATTTTGAACTAAGCATACAGCGACAAGCTTAACGCACAAGAGTTCACGAAGTAGTAAACAAAAAAGGCATAGTTATTGGCGAGTTTTAAGCTTTAGTTGGTAGCACAAAAAAGCTTCTGCTAAGCATTTTATCGTGAATAAGGCATCATCTTCTAATGTCGATTTTTGAAATAACTAAATCGTACTACGTACATAATGAACTTTTTGTCATTTTGTGACGTACAACATAGATACGTTAGCGAGAATCCCCGAGATTACGCGAGAATTCTCCGGAAAACGCACAGCCTGTTTTTTAGTTCATATTTACTGTTGGATAATTTTCCGAAATATATCGAGTTCTTAGGTTTTCGCGATTGTTACACATAGGAAATGAAACTATTTTTTCGGATTTAAATCGCGTACATTTGTTTTTTCAAACAAACTGACGGCCTTTTACAGGTCCCATGGTCCCGGTTGACCGAAATATTCCAATAAGTGGAAATTTTTCCGAAAAAATCCCGGAAAACTTGAAAAATTGGAAATATATAATCTGGAAGGCTTGTGTTATGTTCTACGTTTAAATATATTTTGAAATTTTATTTAGCGTGAATTATAAAATAAACTTGTATAGCTAAAAGCAATCTAAAGAAAAACGAGATTATTTCACAACAGCTAAAAACCTCCAACAAACACACCTCCACCACTTGTTCTTGGCTCCATCATTTTCGTTTAGTACCATCAACTTTTGACAGGTGCAACGTCAAATGTGGAAAATTATAGGAAAAATATGTTGATGTTGTATGTTGGATAAATATATACTATGTTGAGTGTGTGTATGTACGTTATTGTATCTAATTTGTACTGTGTAGCATAATTAAGCTTATGTCAATTGTGTAAAATTGACATAAGCTTAATTATGCTATAGTTACAAAAAATCGCTTCCATTCAATTTCGCAGCAACTTATTATTATATAACTGCCTCCGTGGCCGAACGGTTACCACGTCGGACTGCCACGCATAGGTCCCAGGTTCGATTCCCGGGCCGGGAGAAATATTTGTACGGCATACAATTATTTCTCTCGTGAGTTTGGGTGTAATTTGTGGTTGTCTATATGTGTGTCCATGGCACCTGCGACACAGGGTTTCCCTAGTGCGGGGCTATGTTGAGTGTGTGCGTTATTTATTTATATTTATTTATATTTATATTGAATCTGGAATACCTATATGCTAACTTCCGAGCATTATAGTAAGCGTTAAAAGTTGAGCATCACAGGAATAACATACATTAAGAACTGGAGTTCTAGGACTAGGAGAATAAATGGAGGAAAAATTGTAGTAACGTTCCTCATCTGTATTAATACGGACAAATTAAATTTAAATTTACGTATATATTATGATTAGAAGTGACATAAAGAATAAATCACACGTCTGGTGGTAAACAACACGCATACTCATAACAGTTGCAGTGCCACTCAAGTGCTTTAAGTGACTCCGCCCACTGGGCTACTAATGGCGGGCCAATATACGCGACCACTAGTGGTAAAATGGAGCCAGACGCGGCCACAGTGGCTGGACGCGGCCGCCAGTCGTGCCACTAGTGTGGCTAGAAATCGTCAATTCCCCCGAATTCTGCGTTAATGTTACCAGTGTCTGTCATGACAAGAGGACAAACGAATATAACTTTATTTAAACTTTAAATTCACTTTGGTCACAATTTTTAAATTAAAAAAAAAAATGACATGGGTCAAAAAAGTGCGACATCTATGTCGTTAAACATTTATTTCTAACTAAAACCAAATTTTTGCACGCTAAATATTCATACATTAATTTCCCTAGATCTAACGAATAAGTGGCTAAAAGGACAACACTGGTGGGCGAGGCGAGCGAATGTGGTAGAGTGTGTGCGGGAGACGAGTGACGCAAGTAGCGAGCGGCCACCGAATGCTCAGTTTTTCGACGATCCCGTATTAAAAGTTATGTAAAATCTCGTACGTAACTTTTGTAGGGCTAGCACGATTAGCGCGAATTGCGCGGGAGCGATATAAAGCAAGAGATTTGAGAGACATAGTTAAGTGGCCGCCACTTATGGCCCAATGGGCGGGCGCCCTCAATCTTCAAAATCTGAGAAGCACTACCGTTACCCGGAAACATAACCTTGACAAGTCCTGTGTGCCTGTACTTTCACCAGCACTGTTACTCTTCAAAATCGGAACTCTGTAATATCCACATTACTCATTGACGGTAGAAATAGGTACGGTACTAGCAGTGGTAGAAATAAGATAATGATACTTCCATAAAAGAGCTCTTTCACAAGAAGTTCAACTATTATATATTATGTTCACAGTCCATGACTCTACCTGAAGCGCAACTTGGTTCATAATTTCTATTTAACAATTATAATTACCATAACTCCACGCATACCTATGGAGTGGTAACTACATACAACTTCAACGTCAAATATTTTGGTTGAACTTGTAGATCAAAACCCTAGTTTTTTTAAACTTGTGAATTAGGTCTAGTCTAGTATAGGTGTGATTTTTTTTAAATTATAAATTAACTTGAATATATTACATTACTGATTACAATCTATTCTTTTCTTATAAAAAATAAGTGCGCATTTGACCTCCATCTCACCTGATGGAAAGTGATGATGAGGTCGACGATGTAGCATACAACCCTAAATAATGCCTATTCACTCTCACCTTAAAAAAGGTCGAAGTTATAGCGTTCGGGGAACAAGTCCGCAGGTAGAGAATTCCACTCTCTAGCCGCTCGCCATATAAATGTGGAAGCGAAACGCTGCGTGCGAATCCTGGGAATATCTACGACATAGTGGTGGAATCCCAGCCTCTAGTCCCTCGATGATGGAAAGTGGAAGGCGGAATTAAATCGTGTAATTCCATCGCACACTCTCCGTGATATATCCTGTAGAATACCGATAAGCAGGCAACTTTACGGCGGTGTTCAAGGTTCTGCAGCTTCGCCTCTACTAATTTCTAGTCACCTGTAAGCCTCTTGCCACGCTAGTCCATTAAATCCAAGGTGGCCAGTTGGTATTTAGCAGAGCCACCCCATAAGTGGCAGCGACGATACACGACCGGACTTGTGCTTGGTACAGCTGAAACAACTGTCCCGGTATGAAGTAACGCCTTACCTTGGAAAGGATGCCAAGCTTCCTGGCTGCATTTTTTTGCCATGGATTCAATGTATCTGCCGAAGTTCAGATGGGACGACTGGTCCATACCAAGTAGCTGGAGACGGTCGGCTATTGATCGGCCTTTATATGGCGGACTGTGAAGGTATTAATTCACAAGTCCTTTAATACTATAGTTATACTCCAATGTTTTTATCACTTTTACATTTTCAGACTTCTACAGGGATCTTCGTCCCTGCAGAGCTCTGCCTTTTAAAAAGTTGCAAGCCATTTGAAATCCATTTCCTCTTGCTTTAAGAACGTATTGAACTGAAGATTTGTAAGCAATTGTTAAGCAAAGTTAGTTTATCTCACTATTTGATAAGATTGTTACTTAAAGAAAAAACTAACCTCAAAAGTTTGTGGAGTTCATTTATTTGCCAAGTTTTATTCAAATCGGTCAGCGGAAAGTGAGTGATATCCAATAAACCGGATTCATCGCCTAATTTGCCACGCTTAGAGGTGGAATATTTTCTTCAAATTTGAATGGGTTCATTACTGAGGGAACTCCTCTCCGAGAAAAGAAGATCATCAAAATTGGTTCACAAACATCAGATAAATCGCGTAACCTACACACAAAAAAATACAGACAAATTGAAAACTTCCTCCTTTTTTACGAGTTGGTTAAAGATATAGAAATATGTAGTATACATGACGCTCAGATTTACACCTCAGATCTAAAGCCAACTCTATGCTATTGTGATAAAAACGATTTAGCTATAGTGTAAGCAGAGTACGCTGTACAATGTAGTTCATTATATAAAATTAATGAAAACAGCAAACAGTTTCAAATGTTATTAATAAACAATACGATCTTGTACAGTTTTGTAAGTACTAGGGTTTTTAGTCTACGCTGAACACCTACGGGTAGAAACTACAGCTCTATTTCGTATATACTCGCATTTCGATCGCACTTACCTGGTTATGTCTCTTAACTGGAAATAATGAAATATGGATATACCATCTAATTGTTTGTCGATTATAACTTTTTCCATATGAAAGGGTTGGATTATTGGAATTGTTTTGAAACTGCTTAGTTGATTATATAATCGACCAAAAATGGGAGTGGTTGGAATGAGTTGGACAATTATTGTTTTTGTTATATTATCAACCTAAGCAGTAGAAACAATTGACCAGCTTATTGAACCAACTCCGTTTTACCATTGGACATACAGACGTACCTTCGAGATATATCATCTTTATTTGGTCGACATTTCTTTCCGGCGTACTAAGCGCTTTTTATTATCATGTTTAATGCGCATAACCCGGAAATGGAATTCCCTGCCTATATCTGAGTATCCGGTGCGTTTGAATAGGCGTCTTCTGGGGAGCAAAGCTTTTAGTAGTACAACTCATTGTAAAAGAGTTCGTTCAGGGAAGTACTCTGCCGTCCTCTAACTAAAACGCGTGACAAAACTAAGTGACAAATGGTCAAATAACCGTTATAGATCGCAAAAAATAGAGCACAAAATTGTCTTTTAAAAACAGTTAAAATTAGTTAACGTGTTCGACTTATAAGCATTACTGTGTTCTCGCTTTGAAGGGTCAGGATGCTGGTAATATTACGGACACATGGTAACAGACACTTTTCAACTTAATTGTCAGGGTGACGGTCGCAGTGGAAATGACCAATCAACCTTTGTGATTTAAAGCTCTAGGTGGCTGTGGCTAATACCGTTGTAACTCAAAATTGTTGAATTGAGATGTGATTTGAAAGTTCAAGAAATGACTGAATGAAACCAATAAATATATATTCAAATATATATTCTAATATAAATGGATAACTACAATAAGAACCATCACCAGTTTTTAAAAATTTTCAAATCGTGTTTTGTCCATTCCAGTATTAGTCTCATGTATAAAGGTAGTTTACAGCAACATCACTACAGAAAGCACCATGTGATTTTTAGAACATTGTATGCCTGTGTAGTGTGTATTCTCATTGCTTTTTTTTGTGACTCATCAAAGCTCTTGCAGCCTTTGTCTCTTCCCTCGGCAAACACCAAAACCCTATATCCAAACAAACCGTATTGATTGAAAGTCCGTATCTAAACACAGCAGATAAACGCGTAATGTAATCGCAGTGTAATCAGTCGTAGTTACTATGTCTTATATGAGTATGAATTTGTGCATACAAATATGGCCGATAAGAGACAATGCCACATACGCTACACACGTTGGCAAGATAACGCGACCTGTATTGTATTGTATTATATACCTGTATTGTATACCTGTATTGTATTGTACAAAATTAAGCGAACACGTACCAGTTTCGTCCACATTTTCACTTTACATCAAGTGAGATGTTGGAAACGTAAGCCTTTCTAAAATAAACAAAACACAATTATAACTGCCCGAACGGTTACCATGCTGTCTGCCACGCAGATGTCATGGGTTCGATTCCCGGGCCGCGAGAAATATTTGTATGGCCTACATTTATTTCTCTCGTCCTTGGCACCTACGACACAAGATATCCCTAGTACGTGGCTATGAGTTCTCTGATAGCCACATTGGCACCTACGACACAAGATATCCCTAGTACGTGGCTATGAGTTCCCTGATAGCCACATACTATAGGTACTCGTGCAACACGCGTAACACGGGCGGTAACTAAATTCCAACCACGAGTCATTGAAGCCCTCAGCCTTCGGCTTCGGATGACTCTCGTTCGTAACTTCATATTTACCGCCCATAATACACAATGTACTATTAAACATAGTTTTACGCACTTATAAAGATTCTTTTGAGTAAAATAAAACTTTTATTTAGCCATTGAAGGGGCTCAGATGTTAAAAGAAGGCAGTGGACTTTGTTCTTTCCGTTCTGAATAGTTTACCCATAAGACCAACAAATGTAATTTTTGAAAAATATTGGTGACACTCACCTTTAACTCCCGTGCAGCTGCGTACTGGCGGTGGTTACAAGATAACTCCTTGTTTGCGACAAATGAATATCATAAATAATTACTGACAAGCGGTTTTACATTTTCAGCAGCGGTTTCGTGATTTCGTATAAATTTTTCGTCTCAATGACTATCTCAATAACATTTTTGTTCTTTTTTTGGGCATAGTCAAACGCGAAAGAAGGTCCGAAAATGCCTCCCAATCTTTTCCCAAAAATAACTTTAATGGTTTCATGGGCTCAAACAGCCATTAAGATTTATAAACAATTTCCAATTTCCCTATCAAGTATCTACGTCCTTTTTCGTTATCAGCGGAAAATAACAAAATGACAATTATCACTGGAGCATTAGATTGTGTCAAAATTACTAACTCCGTTTCGGAAATAATTAAATTAATCTCGCGAGATTAATTTGATTACGAATGTAATTATTAATTAACGGTTATATTTTGGCTATAATTAAAATTTAATAAAGTCAACGTGGTATATCGTAGAGCCTTTGCAAATATAGCTGTATATTTACATTTAGTGACGACCTAGCAGGCCCCACAGTTACACTGTGGGCGTTTTATGAAAACGGACTTTTTTATGATAGCGTATGATGTTAAGCGACATGCCCGCCTGTCTACAGCAGTTGAATGGCCACACAGAACTTTAAATAGCATAGATCTAAGAGGCACTGCCACTGCGCCGTCACCCTGAGACATAAGTTATTAAGTCCCATGTGCCTGTAATTTCACCAGCACCCTTACCCTTAAAAACCGGAATACTCACATTACTGTTTGGCGGCAGAAATGGGTAAAGTGGCAGTAATACCCTAGACGAACTCTTTCACAAGGAGCTCTACTGCTACTAAACATTTTGTAAACAGGTTCTGGTCTAATTGTTCTGGGTAATGCCCAGGAGAGAATTCATTTGCTCAGTACACATAATCGACCCCTCACGAAATATATCGTAAGTCACCTTTTTTCGCGTTTTTTCTATAAGATACTATATTGTTATTCAGTATTAAAACTATAAAATAGAGCTTCCTGCAAATATTTATAATGAACCCAATTTAATAAATGTTCATTTTTCTAATCTACCCGGTAATACACGAGCTACATTAACAGAGCAAAATTGTAACGTTTCTACAAAATTCGTGCGGGAGAGAGTAGAAGAAATTGAGGTTCTCAAAACCATGCGTTCGCTGAAGTCAAAGGCAGTTGGTTTTGACGGTATATCACTAGACATGCTGCTGCTTTGCCCACCATATTATCCGTTGTAACAGCTATGGCAAACAGATCCATTGAAACTAACAAGTTTCCAGCGAACTGACAACATGCAGTAAGGCCCACCCCAAAAAATTAATAATCCAACCACTTTACAAGATATTCGGCTCATAAGCATACTGCCTTGCGTGTCAAAGGTTTTAGAAAAAAACGTGGTAAACAAATAACATACTTTTTAGAAAATAATAAAATACTTCCTACTGCACAATCTGGTTTTAGGAAAAAGCATAGTACAACAACTGCTATGGCCCACGTTGTTGATGATATTTTAAATGCGCAATACAATGGACAGGGGACCTTGCTGACACTATTAGATTTTTTGCAGAGCCTTTTACTGCATAAATGTCAACTTGCTGTTATCAAAACTGCATTATTTCGTCTTCGTGAGAATTTGGGCTTAACATTCTTTACGTTGATTATGCACATGTAACATTGTAGGTAGTAAACTCGGAAATTATTTCATCTATTTATTATTATCGCAAGTTACAGGGTCCGAAGTCCGGGTAATTTTAAATCATTTATTGTACGTTTGGTATTCTACTAAAAGTAAGTGTAGTGGTTTGTCACTGGCTAGCCCTCGAGCTACTGCTCAATCTCTGACACGCCGATGGTGAAGTCTACTAATGTATTTAATTTGAAAACTACATTTCTGATTAAGCGAAATAACAATTAAGATATGCAGAGTAATTTCTATGGTAGTTTAGTACGGCACCATCAATCACCAGTGGTTGAAATAATAAATGCCATCACTGCAAGTCCACTGACGCCCAAATGAGACTCGACTGCCATTGCAACAACATTTTACCAGAATAACAAATATTATCATAATTGCAATATAATCTTAGTGGAGTCTCAATAAAGTTGAGGCCCAGATGTATGACCATACTATGATTCCTTTTAGTTATCGCGATATTTCAGTATGGTTAGTCAACCCTTGACCATGGAGGGTGTAACCCAGAAAAATTATTAGAAAATCGTGCCGTGGTAAGAAACCTGTGACAGGGTATTTTCGGGTTAGTTTTCTGTACCTAATTTTGTTGGCAATTTTCATTATTTAAATATTCTAGAATATGCAACAAGTGTTAACTTAATATTCGAGTTTGTTATCCTGAAATATTATTTAATACTTAAATAATAAAATTGCCACCAAAATCAGGTAGATAAATCTAACCTGAAATTTACCCACCTAATATAACCACGAAACTCAAATATTGCATCTGTGTGCTGCACAATACTATCATAAATAATATAGAGGTTTCATTGAATTTCAATTCAAATAATTTCCTCTAAGAATCGGTGGCTTGGCTAGTTTTAAATTGGGCCCTGTATTAAAACTTCGCACTATTGGTGTACTAAGGCCACATCTGAATTTTAGTTAGCATTACTATGTTCCGATTTTGAAGGGTAATGGTGCTAGTGAAATTATAGACACATGGGACTTGTCAAGTTATGTCTCAGGGGTGACGGGCGCAGTGGAAGAAGATTTTTGCGATTTAAAGCTCTGAATGGCAACGCAACTATTATGGATAGGCGTGTCGCTTACCACCAGGCGCACGACTTGTTCGTCCCGCCGCTTGGTATCAAAAAAAAAATTGTAGGGGCCCTTTTCATCACACTTACGTCAAAAAGGCGAAATGGAGAGTAATGTTTTTTTACAAAATAAACAAAAAAAATCTCGTTAAGCAAAGTAACGAACAGGTATGTATTTTAAACTGCCCTGTCAACAATATAAGAGCAGTGTAGCGTAGTGAGCAAGACCAAAGTAAATTTAAATACAGTTTATTACAAAACAACCCACAGCAACTTATACAGAAACAATATTCAATAATATGAAAAGGCACCAAAAACCGATCACATTTAAATTTAGAATTCAAATATAAAACTAAACTTAAAAAGACTATATAAAACACATGTACAAAAAAAAATTGTAGCGACTACGGCGATTCGCTACAAGTAGTAACTAAGTATTATTGTAATTTAGCATCATGCATAAGAATAACAGCCACGGGACTCTACTTCTGTCCGTTTATAAGGCTCATCAAACGCAAAACTAATATTGATTTCACACTAGGTTGCGGACTGGATGGAGCGCGGCCCGCAGCGAGCCTCCTCTTTCCCCTGCCGAGAGAGAAGCGATTGCCGCCGTGGTCAAGAGGGCGGAGAAACTCGACGAGGTCGAGGCGAGGCGGGTCGGACGGCTAGTCGCACGACTGGAAGGTAACTTAATATTAACAATGATCGAAACCGACAGAGCATATTAACATATTTACCTATTTAGGTTTCCGTCGAACTGCAACGCAGTAATGTAGATATTAGCCAGGTATGGAACCCATTATATGGCGTGGCATCGCAAAGACTGGAGTCAGTTCAGCGCGCTTTCACGAGATACCTTGCTTTCTCCACACCCGGTATATCGTAGAGCTGTCCATATGGGTATAGGCTCACTTTCTTTAAACTCGAATCACTGAAGGCACGTAGAACAAAGAATGACCTGGACTTTTTGTACAAGATCCTAAATGGCCAAATTACCAGTCCCGATATCCTGAACCAAATCACATTAGCCGTGACTTACAATTATTCCAGAATCCAGATGTCCTATTTTTAAGATCTTGCATTTGCCCTTGTGTAGAACAAATGTAGGCTTCAAATCACCTATTAACAGAATATGTAGAAGCTACAATGATTTGAAAAGTACTTGTGATACGGATATGTTTGCTGACCCTTTGTCATTTAGGCGCAAGCTAACGTCACATTTTAAATAATAATAAAATGAACACTAGTAGTATTATAGAATGTAACATTGTACGTGTATTTAAATGTCTCTTAATATATCGTTTCTGTTTTTGTTTTCGCTTTCGTTTTTTTTTTAATTTTCAATTTATGTAAAAAATATAATAACCAAGTTTTTTTTAAAGCGTTGAGTAAATATGTCTGTGTTATTGTCGTGAAATTGATTAAATATGTATAGTGCGGTGTATAGCGAATGTCGTGTACGTCTGAAATTATCATATGTATCTGTCCTAGCCTCATGTCTTATTTTTATTGATTGTCAAATACATATGATGTTGATGTGCCTAATAATAATAAATATATTAATATTTACTAGCAGTAGAGCTCCTTGTGAAAGGGTTCGTCCAGGGAAGTACTGCCACCTTACCTATTTCAACTGGAACATAGTAATGTCAGCATTACTATGTCCGATTTGAAGCGTAAGGGCTGGTGAAATTACAGGCACATGGGACTTGTCAACCTGGCGCAAGACTCGTTTGTCCCGTCACTTGGTATCATAAAAAATAGGTTTTTTTTTATAATCAAACAAGAACAATTCGTGCGCCTGATGGAAAGCTACACGCCTGTCCATAACAGTTGCAGTGTCACTAAGAGCTTTAATCGCAAAGATCTGAGGGGCATTGCCACTGCGCCTGTCACCCTGAAATATATTATGTTGACAAATTCCATATGTATGTAATTTCACCAGCATCCTTACTCTTCAAAACCGGAACGCAGTAATGCTCACATAACTGCTTGGGGCAGAATAAGTAAGGTGGCAGTACTTGCCTGATTTCACAAAGAGCTCTACTGCTACTACATGACATGGTAAGATGAATGTGGTGAACTGAGGACGTGGTGAAATGAGAGTGCGGTTTTGAAGACAGGAGTCTTCTATCCCACAAAATCTCGACAAAAATAAAACCTACACGAGTTGCCGTTACGAGGAACACAAATAATTAAGAAGTCATCAAATAAGGCTACTGCTAATACAGCTCATATGCTATATGACCTTGACTTTATAATATACACATTTTTCAGTCTTTAATTGGGCATACATTGGTAATTAAAACTTTATGCACTTTATTCATTCCGGGCTCTATTGGCTTGTTTACGTCCATATAAACTCGTCTTAAGTCACAAACTTTGTTCTATTATAAAGACAGGAGTCTTTAAAATAAAAAAATAATATAAAAACACAAGTTATCGTTACGAGAAAAACAATGTATTGATTCATAAGTCGTCGTGAAAAGGAAGACTAAAAACTTAAATCAAGTTCGAAACAATCACAGACAACTCACAGAGAAGGTGTTGCCCCAGCACAAAGGTTTTGCAACAGTTGTGACCTGAAAACATGGCGAAATGAAAATGTGGTGACCTGAGATTATTGTGAGTTGAGAATTTGATAAAAAAGTTTCATCTTTGTAAGTTCAAGAAATACGATTTTTCACTCAAGCATTTTCATTTATCACAGAACAATAACGTCATTTATACCCTTTCTCACCTTCTTCGAGATTGAATTTCGAAAAATCCGTTCTTAGTACGCCTACACTAAATAAAAATAACATACCGTCAACGTTATTATGTTTTAGGACTTATAGTTTTTACTGTGCGCACATCTCTGCTCCGGACTACACTCTTCTAATAGATATATAACTATCAACGACTTGTTCTTCCCGTCACTTGGATATAGAAGTCCTCACCAGACTTTCCTAAACAAAAATGTGTGTTTTCGTACAAAGATACAAATTTCGTATATATATATATACATATGTGATGGTAGTGGCAAGAGACCAAAACTCTGAAACAAGGGTCTGCATGTTTCGTCCGGGGGAATTCCACAAATTGCTCTAATGCATTTCTTTTGTGCTACAAAAGCTCTATTTTGATCTGTACTATTGCCCCATACTATAAGACTGTAACGTAATGTGGATTCTTCATACGCCCTACATGTGTTTATGACAGCTTTCTTATTTGTTATATTTTTCAGTTTTTTTAAGGCGTATACAAACTTATTGATTCTCGAACATATATTCGCGACGTGAGTTTTCATTGTTAGTAGTTTGCATTGATAAAATTTTTTTAATCCATTTTAATAGACAAGTAACGCTTGACCAAAAAACTTGACTATGCAAAAATTGTTTTCACAAAAAAAGACTTAATGGTTCCTAAAACAGTTTCGTCGTATTGTCTATGGTTTCGGATTTCCCCAATTTTTTATTATCTAATTCATAATAGGAAGGCTAACAATGGTAATTTAATGGTATTACATAGCATAATACTACGAGAGAGCGTTAATGCTTGTCACCAGCAAGCAACTACTCAAAGCAACAAGCTCTCATGCAGTGAGCCAGAGGAAAAATACATGTCGCCTTTGTCGAACGTTGATAAAGGACATAAATTAAGGCCACGCGTATATATAATGTAAATAGACCCCTATTAGCATATATATGTATATATATATATATATATACCCAGGCTATATATACTCGAAAGTTATTTACGGATAATTGTATACAGGTCGTCACAAAAAGCTGCCATTAACTTTCAACTGGTTAACACACAACGTCTTGTCAACGTCAAAAACTTGTTGTATAGGGTAACAAAGTTAGCAGTGAATTTAAATAATTATTAATATATTTTTTTAATTAGATGTCATGAGTCTATAGATAAAATAAAGGTAGATTTATTTGTGGAAGTAGGTAAAATACATTAATTTCAATTAGGTTTTAAATAATATATCATAGTGCTATTACAACCAGTTTCATCAAAACATACAAATGTGACTACTGGTGGTCATATAATGTTCAAAATACTTTAACTAAAACAATAAAAAAAAAATAGTAGGAATAAACATGTAGAGATCAACACAGTAAAAATTAACAATGTCTAAAATAAAGCCAAAATAAGCACGTGAATGTCAAACATACATAATCTACATTTCTACACCTCATAAGAGATAACTTATATATATCAACAACCACTTGAACCTCTCATGTTCCGTTAAAGTGTGTTGTTCTTTTATAATGAATCTGACATTGGGTATTTCTGTTACTCAATTTCACAGATAAGATTACATATATTTCTAATGACAAGAGAAGTGTTATTACATAGAAAGTAATGTATGAGGGGGTCACTACATTTATTAATGCGTAATCGGCTTTTCCTGACCGGCTTAATGCGATTCCATGACCATGTGTGTGGTAACCCTGTAGGTACCTAATAGTAATTGCAAAGTAATATGTGGAACAAAATTAATTATTTTATTGTCTGTAAGTGTAATGACATTGTGCATGATTGTCTTTTCAGCCGCGTAATAAAGGATTTTTGTTACAGCCCCTAGCCTAGCTTAAGAACCATGTCACACGAAGCGGTACGCCGGTGTTGCGCCGCGTGTGTTGCGTTAGATCTACATGCCGCCGTGTGGCAAGGAGTTTGAACTTTTCTGTCTTTTATTCGGTATAAGAGATACTCATGTCAAAAATTAAACGAAATACAACAATAACTTATACCACTATGTTAAAATTAGTCACATGCAGATTACTAGATATTATTTCAAATTAGTCCTAAATCCATTTCGTCATTTACATTCATCATTTACACGATAAAAACATTTGGCATCTTAATACTGCTTACATTTTTTCTTAAGATCTACGAGTACATGCAATTCTGGGATGGATTTCGGGACTCTATTATATAATCTTGGCAACATACAGAGCACACTTCTTGACATTAAATACGGTTTTACGTGGCAGCATGTTTTTATTATACTCTGTATACAACCCTTAAATATAACACGTGGTTAGAGGCACAGCTCTTCTCCAGCTCACATATCAGGATCTTCTTTGTTTAGAAATATTACTAATTATTAAATTATAAACATTTTTGCGTTGTTCGTGTTGATACTTAAATACTTTTTTTCATGATACGAACAAGTCGTGCGCCTTGTGGTAAGCGACACGCCTGTCCATATCAGATGCAGTGCCACTCAGAACTTTAAAAATCACAATTACTCGGGGGCAGTGTCTTGCGCCCGTCACCCTGATTCATAAGTTGACAAGTCCCACGTGCCTGTGATTTCACCAGCACGCTTAACCTTCAAATCCGAAACGCAGTAATGCTGACGTTACTGCTTGGCTGCAGAAATAGGTAAGGTGGCAGTACTTCTCTGCACGAACACTTTCAGAAACAGCTCCACTGCTACTACTCTCTCTTCTTATTTGGTCTGAGCCGATCTGTGGAGTATCGCTAACCATCTTGGTGTAGCTTGGATTTCCTGACTCAATGAAAATTTAAATTAATTGTTCTTTTTCTTTTTGTCCATAGTTTATTTTTATTTATATAATCATTTTAACTCACAGGAAAACACAAATCACATGAAGTAAAAAGGAAAACACACACAAAAAATATTGCTTATTTCTGAAAGAAATTTCTTCCGAACTTAAATACAGGACACAATACACTATGAGAATTTTGTGAAAGTTTCTTCACCCAGCCTTTACAGCTATCAGAGAATGACAAGAGATGTCGCCATATCAAATTACATTTTTTGTAGTGGTAATATGACAATAGCAAAGTAGTGGAATATTTTCACAAAAATATATGAATTTCATGGAAGTAAAAATATCATGACATTCAGTATCATCATTACTCCATTTATACGTGCCACAGCTGGGTACGGGTTTCCACTCAGGCGAGGGTTTAGGGCATAGTCCGCCACACTGGCCCAATTCGGGTTTGTGATTTCACACATTTTCCAACTTTCTTCGACGTGCAGGTTTCATCACCGTAAACATCGAGTATATAACCAAAAATAAAGACAAAATAAGGGCGATCCATCCCTGACAACTCATCAGGCAAATGGGCCTTATATCACGTTTAAATATCAACTCTCGTTTGCACTGAAATCACAAATTAGAAAGCTGAAATAGTACAGCATCAACAACTGACCTGTGTGTACGTCTCCGTATATTCCAAAAATATTCTGTATTTATTGTAATAAAGATAATATCTCTAACTATGGAGGGCTGTTCCATTCGGTGGTGTGGGAAAATCAGCAAAACATCTAATTGCAAAACAAACGGAATCACATTTCATCGATAATTAAATATTAAATATGTCATTTTTCAATTTTCGACCATTGTAGTAAAGCTCAAGTTAAACTAGTCGATTTGAAGTGAAACAATTGACGACACGCGTCAATTGTTTCGAATTCGGGCTGGCCAATCGGAGCGCAGTTGTCACCGTATCATTAATGGCAGAATAGTGTTCAAACAAATTTAATGACATTTCGTCTCTATTTCTAGTTATATATACGCGATGACCATAAAGGTCATGGTAAATACCAAATTAAATTTTCACATATATTCCGAGAAACTCAAAGGCTACTACGGCTTTTTCGTAATATTATTACAAAATACTAATATTTCATACAACAAATCGTGCCAAAAGTTGGATTTTTCGCACTAGTGCTTTTTACTTTTCCATTTTTTTTAATTTACTGTTGTTTCAAGTCTTAAACATAGAACTAAAGAGGATGTATATTTATTTAATATTTATGTGCTTTGTGACGTAACTCATTCGTCATTAAAACTTGTATTTATTTACAAACATCTTATTTGTTTAAATTGCATAGGTGTTTTATAAAACAACGGGTTACATTTAAAAATACCAAAATATTTTCCATAAAGATGGATGATTGAGTATTAACAATGACCGGAGGTGAGTATTACGCGAGACCACTGAGCGCCGCGCCACTAAAATAGTAATTTTAATGTTCCTGAATACTGGCAACATTTGCCATTGTACGTACTCTGAGTTTTTATCAGACAAAGAAATAAAATGAGTTTTTTTTAATACTCTTTTATTTTTCTTTCAATGTAGTTTTTTTGCAAATGTATTAAAAACGTCGTTTGATACACGTGCGGATTTGTCATTTTCACTTGTCTCGAAGCCTCGACTCTTGAATAATGACTAACTTTCCGCACTTGTATCAAAAATAACTATTAAACTTTTACGGCTTTTCATTTGTTTCACCATACCTGACATGATGCCTAATTACTATATCTAACAGTCTTCTGCACATTTGTTTAACTTGGAACTCGATTATAATTTTCACCTACTGCTATGGTATGTCGGTTTCGCAATTTGCGTCTTAAATACCATGTAACATAACAACGTTAATATACGAATAGAAAAGGATGGATGTCGTTAGGCGAGCGGAAAGATCGTATTTTCTAGTAGTTTGCTCTGTCATTTTGTTTGTACATCAACGCCTTACCCCAGAAGTAGACAACCATGTGAGCCTGCTACTTGCAGATCGGAACCAGTGAGCATAAATAATACTAGAGACGCAATGTCCTACAAACAATTGACAAAAAAACTGGCACAACTGCAAATTTAAAGACTAGCTTCGAAATTGATTAAAATTTCAAAGAAAAATATATTTGTCTCGTCTTTTCTAATGTCACACTCATTCTGTCAAAATGATTTTTTTTTTAATTTATTAAGGCTTTGGCAAAGCCATCAGCCTAAACATGAAGTTTAAATATGTTTCTGTAAATATGGCCGCCACAAAGAGGAT